AGGTTTTTATATTACAGTAAAACATCTATCTTGGGAGTTACCATGTGATTCCAAGCGATAATGCACTTGAAACACAGATTGAATAAATTTGGTTGCAATAAAACCTGAACTATTATTTCTTATAAAAATTCCAGTGAAACTCTCTTAATATTAGATATTTAACACTTTTATCGATAGAGGACATTGTGAGTTGTGATAGAGATGCATGGGGACATCTGAGGTTCTTCATTGGACACAACAACAACAATAATACAGTATACACACCCAAGATTCTGGACATTGCTGCTGCTGTGATAGAGATGCATGGGTACATCTGAGGTTCTTCATTGGACACAACAACAACAATAATACAGTATACACACCCAAGATAGAGGACATTGCTGCTGCTGTGATAGAGATACAATGGGGGCATCTGAGGTTCTTCATTGGACACAACAACAACAATAATACAGTATACACACCCAAGATAGTGGACATTGCTGCTGCTGTGATAGAGATGCATGGGGATATCTGAGGCTCTTCATTGGACATGACAACAACAACAATACAGTATACACACCCAAGATAGTGGACATTGCTGCTGCTGTGATAGAGATGCATGGGGACATCTGAGGTTCTTCATTGGACACAACAACAACAACACATTTAGCCTTTTAGGTGCTTTAAAAATGTAGATGGGAGAGTGTTAGACAGGTTCAAACGCCAAAGAAAATGAGAAAAAAAAAGAAAAAAAAAAAAGGTTTCCCACTAAATATTGTTTTCGAAGACAGGGTTTTTTTTTTCTTCAGGATTTTGTGTTAGATATGTATTGAATTTTGTCTGATGATGGTAACAATGTTGTTTTCGAAACGTCACACACTATTTATTTATTTATTTGGATTTGGTCTTATTACCTTGTGTTTACAATTTAACCTTGTTATAATGACATCCCCCAAAATTACATGATGTTATAACCATGTTGCTGTTATAAAAAGAGGGAGTTATAACAAGGTTCCACTGTAATCAGTGGAGCCTTGTGTTATAGCTGCCTCTTTTTATTTGCAGAATATTTGCAGAATTTACTGGGGACAGGAAAATCCTCATTTTCATTTCTGGATGGTCGGTAAAATAAAAATGTTAAAAACACAAGGCAATATGACCAAATCCAAATAAATAAAGAGTGTGTGACGTTTCGGTAACAGCGTTGTTACCATCTTCAGACAAAAGTACTGAATTTCAGCAATTTTTATTCAGTTCAGTTCATTTTGTCTGAAGATGGTAACAACACTGTTACCGAAACGTCACACACTATTTATTTGGATTTGGTTATATTACCTTGTGTTTATAATCTATAATCCAAATTGTGCCTTATCAAAAATGTAAAAAAAATATAGACAGTGAGAACTACCCACTCAATGATGGTGGGAAGATTGAATCACAGCCCTGATGTCCCTTCACATGAGGAAGTAGGGCAATTGAAGTTCTCAGCCTTCCCATTGCTGTTTGTGGTAGAGGTTGCTTGGAGAGGCATTAGGCAGGAAGGGGTTGCAATTCCTCACCAGGAACAACTCAGCCTAGTTTCTATAGCTGATTCTTCTATCGCACAGAGGTGAACAATCTGTATAAATACCTTCATATGGCACAATTTGAATTATAGATTTTAAACATAAGGTAATAAGACCAAATACAATTAAATAATTAATGTGTGACATTTCAGTAACAGCATTGTTACCACCAAAAGTACTGAATGGCATTTTGTCTGAAGATGGTAACAATGCTGTTACAGAAAAGTCATACACTATTTATTTGGATTTGGTCTTATTACCTTATGTTTTTAAATACCTTGTTATAACTCTTTCTTTTATACCAACAACTCTGTTATACCATCAAAATTGTTTAGTCCCAAGTTTTAAGTCCCATAGTAGTACTACAGCATATATGGTGTTATAACAACACAAAGTATAGGTCTGATAAGGCACAATTTGGATTATTCTATATACAGTTACGAGCGTCACTCCTCATCTCCTAATCAATCAGTCATCAGTTTTCATCTCTATCACCGTTTGCTTTTTTTTTGGAATGGCGCCCTCCTATTGGTTGGCTACGGTCACGCCACCTTTGCCCCCCCCCCCACTCGCCTTTTCGTTTATGTAATTATTATGTTGGAGTGGGTCGCTCCTTAAATAAATGCATATATTAGTTAATAACCAAATGGAATCCTCTCTTTCTTTTTCCCTGTAAGAGACGCCTACGGAAGCCAACAGTACATAGACAGATAAAGCACATAGGCTATAGTTATTAACTAAAATATGCATTTATTTAAGGCGCCAATTTATAATTGTAACAAATAGTATTTGAATCAAAACATTCAATCGGGTAAAACACGGGCGTTGCCCGGGTCATTCGGCTAGTAGATTATAAACACAAGGTAATAAGATCAAATCCAAATAAATAAATAGTGTGTGACGTTTCGGTAACAGCATTGTTACCATCTTCAGACATAAGGTAATGAATGAGGAAAAAAAAAACATGCTGTGGTAAAATTTCTCATTCAGTACTTTTGTCTGAAGATGGTAACAACGCTGTTACTGAAACATCACACACTATTTATTCATTTGTATTTTGTCTTATTACCTTGTGTTTATAAAGTATGGGTCCTAAGTAATGTTATAGTAAGGTTCAACTGCCATGTGAGAGATTTCACACATTTTTGTTTAAAATATTCACCATACTGTCCTATGGGGTTTGAGTGGAGGAAAGGTATAGAGCGTAGATTTTAACAACCACGACTCAGTATAGAGTCACATTGAGTGTTTTTTTTTAATTCTTCAAGTGTCCCTAATTCCTGCACAAAAAAAAGTCCCACTTACCATTTAAAAAAAAATATATTCCCAGTACACGTGGTACAGGCCATGCTAATCATGGTTGGTAGAAGTTGGAAACTTCTTTTACTGTAAGTGGACCACATGTCCACACATGTGAAAAGCAGTTTGACTTTGCACTTACAAATATGCCAGAGCTCCATTTGGTTACTTGCACTCACTGGTGGAGTTGGACTTTTGCAAGAATTGGGGGCCATTGGAGCATTTTTTTTTTTAAATCAGAAAAAAGTGCCCAATGCGGGAATCGATCCCGGGTCGTAGCGGTCGAAAACCAACGGTTTAACCAGCCTCCCACCGACCCCCCAGAGCTATATTTACATGTTATAAATGTAGAAAAGTACAAGCTGAAGAGCCAACTGATGAACCAAAATAAGGATATACAGTAGAACCTCCATGAGAGGACACTCACGTTAGAGAACACCTCTCTACAAAGGACAGTTTTCATTTGCAAAATTACCATTTTTACTATTCAGCAACTCTCTGGTAAGAGGACACCTCTCCCTAAAGGACACTTTGGCTTTGCAATTAGGTGTTGTCCTTTACAGGGAGGTTTTAATGTATCTATTTATAAAGGGAAGTGTCTGTAGATGATGGGTACTGCCATCTTCTTTTTCTTTCTCATCACAATCAATCATATCAGGGTATCAAGCCTGTAGAGCTTGAGATGGTGTCTGCTGGGGATGAGTAGATCTCATCAAAGATTTGGCATTTATAATGAGATTGGGTGGAGTAGAATCCGTCTGCCTTTTTCATTAAGACTGGGAGCACTACTCAGTAGCAGATCGACTTAGCTCCAATATGTAATGGCCGTCTCTGACATGAGGAACAGATGCCATGTGCAGTCGCTCCTAACATGGAGTACAGACTCATCCTGTATCCCTGGATCAGGAGACCTTACAGGGTAATATCAGCCAGGCAAGCTGAGTCCAGGTTTTTTTTTTAGTGAGCTTGTTACTGTTCCTTTTTCAACTTTTATCCGGGCTTGGGACCGGCAAAGGTGGAGTTGAGTATTGCCATAAAACTTATTGCTTTACATTCAATCCTATTGAAATGTGAATCTTTTAACTGGGGATGGATAGAACTCAAAAATGGATGCAGTCAATGATGTGGTTTGGGGTTGTAATGAAACTTGAGGGGTGTGTGTGTGAATCAAGAGAAATTCCAGACAACTTTACTAACTCGATTATTTCATCTATTGTCTGTAATGGTATTAGAGGAGCATGTATTCCTGGAATTGTTTCCAAGAACACCCTTTTCTTCTTCCGGAGGTCACACATTGAAACTAAGAAGAAGAGAAGAAAAGAAGAAGAGGAAGAGAAGACTGGCCAAACTTAATAGATAAGATAAAATTATCAGAAATCATAATAGCAAAAAAAAAAATCATTTTTCTCATGAGAGTTTAAGAAATAAAAATATTTATATAAAGGTACATTTTCATTATTCGAGACTGCTGATAATTGGAACTTCTGATGATTGGGACTTTTGATAATTGGGACTGATAATAATTGGGACTATTGAACATTGGAACTACTGATAATTAGGATTGCTAATAAATGGAACTGCTGATAATTGGAACAGGGGATATTTGGGACTTCTCACAAATCTGCTAAAATTGTATTTAAAAAAAAAAAATCATAAAAAAAAATAAGAATAAGAGAACTAATAAATACAAAAATCAATTCCAAAGATAAACTTAGATGAGGAAAATCTAACGAGGCTAACAAATCGGAACCAATTAAAAGAGGACAAAAAAAGGACAGTAATTTATCAATGTCAGGTAAATTGCACTGTTGGCGCGACGATAAGAGATTTACATATTCAATTATGCGCGGCGGATTAGTATAATATGATGATCAACAATGTGATAACTTCATCTTGATTTCCATCTCGGCCGCTAGTTATCATTCTGGGCTGGTTGCGCAAAGTCTCGGTGGATCTTCCCTGTGTTGCAGTCAATGTTTATTACAGTTTTATCTTTTTTATTAAGCTCCAAGATTGTCATTCTGACTTTTTTTTTTTTTTTTTTTAATATATTTAAAGAATATCTCTTTATTAAAATTATCTTGGTATTAAGATGACCAAACTTTGGTACCCCCCCCCCCCTCCCCCCTTTGACGACTTTAATTTTACTGTAGTCCCACCCCAAGCCGGGAATTGAACCTGGGCCTCCTGGGTGATATCCAGTTATCCTAGCCACTAGACCACGTGGGAGTTGTGTAGTTGTACCTTGTAAGTACAACTGTAGTTGTACCTTGCTATAACACTTGGGACCAAGATTTTATCTTGTTATAACCATGATTAAACAATTTGGGACTTAAAACTTGAAAAATTAGAGTTATGATGTTGTTGTTGTTGTTTCTTATCCCCTTGTGTAAAGATTACACAAATCCCATGAGTTCATGATCTCATGGAATGGGGTGTAGGGGTGCAGCTTTCGTTGATCATGGCACCATGATCCAGGCACACTTTGGTGAAAGTCTGACTTTGCCTGTAGTTTGAGGCTGTTCCTAACATGGAAGCCTTTGCTGCACTCTAACATGAGTACGGACACAGGTCCTCCGTATTCCTGGAGTGGGACCCTTGTTGAGGACCATCAACCGGGTCAGTTGAACTCAGGATTTTTAAAGGGAGTTATGATGTTATAACTAAGGTGCTCTTATAAAAGAATCTGTTATAACAAGGTTCCTTGTATTTGGATATACAGTAGAACCTCCATGAGAGGACACTCCTGCTAGAGGACACCTCTCTATAAAGGACTGTGTTTGCAAAATTACCATTTTTAATATTTAGTAACTCTCTGGTAAGAAAACACCTCTCCTTAAAGGATACTTTGGCTTTGCAATTAAGTGTCCTTTACAGGAAGGTTCTACTGTATAGTAGAACTACCTCTCTGTAAAGGACAACACATAGTTGCAGAGCCAAAGTGTTCTTTAAGAGTGAGGTGTTCCCATACCAAAGAGTTTATAATTAAGGTGGAATCATCTGACTTCCAGGGATGAGTTTCTAAAAATATAATTTAGAACTTTTAGGCATGGAAGCCTATCTATAGGAGAAAATACAATGCAATAGAAAATAATCGTCTTATATAAACACAAGGTAATAAGACCAAATAAATAAATAGTGTGTGACTTTTCGGTAACAGCGTTGTTACTATCTTCAGACAAAAGTACTGAAGTATTTTTGTACCATTCAGTACTTTTGTCTGAAGATGGTAACAACGCTGTTACCGAAACGTCACACACTATTTATTTATTTGGATTTGTTCTTATTACCTTGTGTTTATAATCTACTAGCCGAATGACCCGGGCAACGCCCGTGTTTTACCCGATTGAATGTTTTGTTTCAAATACTATTTGTTACAATTATAAATTGGCGCCTTAAATAAATGCATATGTTAGTTAATAACTATAGCCTATGTGCTTTATCTGTCTATGTACTGTTGGCTTCCGTAGGTGTCTCTTACTGGGAAAAAGAAAGAGAGGATTCCATTTAGTTATTAACTAATATATGCATTTATTTAAGGAGCGACCCGCTCCAACACAATAGTTACAAACACCAAAAAGCGAGTGGGGGGGGGGGGGGCAAAATCAAAAACAAAGTGTCTCGTGTAGTGGCGGTGCCATCGTAGCCAACCAATAGGAGAGCGCCATTCCAAAAAAAAAGCAAACGGTGACAGAGATGATGACGCTCATAACTGTATATAGAATAATCCATATTGTGCCTTATCTCCTTTTATATAAAGTAGCTTTTCTCCCCAACTTGTGTTTCTTCATCTATAATCCTTATTGTCTATTACATGGTATTTTGTCTTGTTGTAGGCCTTTCATTCTAACAAAATACTTCCACTGAGGTTTTATTTAGATGATCTCTCAAGCTTTTGGGTATTACAAACCCTTCTACAGGAGTCTACAATGACGTTCTTGCCAGAAAGTTAGAGATGTAAATTATATTTTTGAAAAATAGAAACTCATCCCTGGAAGCATTACTATTGATACAAAGGATTATTTTAAAACGACATTTAAAGAATATCCCGCATGAGTTTCTTTTCAATTATTAATCAAAATTTATTTTAAGGAGAAATAACGATTATTTCTAACCTTAGGGATGAGGTATGCAAGGATGAATTGTGAAGAGTAGCCTAGTGGACATGGCATCTGCCCGGTAAGCGGAACACTCTGGGTTCGATTCCCATCCCTAGACACTTTTATTTTTCCGTTTATCATTACTCTTCACAATTCATCCTTTCATACCTCATCCCTAAGGTTAGAAACAATCGTTATTTCTCCTTAAAATAAATTTTGATTATTCTTCGAAAAGAAACTCATACGGGATATTCCTTAAATGTCGTTTTACAATCATAAGCCACATTATATTGTATTATAAAGGATTATTTTATTGAAGTTTCTAATTAGAAGATAAATTTTGACATCTGAATAACTGTCCTTTGTAAGAGAGATGTCTTCTGGCAGGAGTGTCCTCTCATGGAGTATGTTCTACTGTAATTTGAAACTTCCATCATGCCTTTTGTATTCTATGCTTTAGATAGTTTTTTTTATTATTATTATCCTTTGTACATTGTGGTACAGGCCATGAAAATCATGGTGGGTATATGTTGACGAATGCTTTTACTGTAAGTGCACCACATGTCTACACATGTGAAAAGCAGTTTGACTTTTGCATTTACAAATGTGCTAGAGCCCCGTTTGGTTACTTGCACTCGCTAGTGGGGTTGGACTTTTGCAAGGATCGGGAGCCATTGGAGCATATTTTTTTTTAATTAGAAAAAAATTCCCAATGCAGAATTCGATCCTGGATCGTAGCAGTCAAAAACCAACGGTTTGCTTTAGATAGTGGAAAACAGCAGCAGCAAAAACAAGGCAGTTTGAATCTGCTCCCCGCTGTGGTTTTAACAACCTGTTAATGAGGAGTACCTTGGAGCTTTATGCAAATTTAGAAAGCAGTAAATTGAACCCTTCTCTGAATTTCATATAAGACACTGCCTTTCTTCATTGTAGGTCATTAATATTTTCTGCCCAGAATTCTTTGTTCACTTCTCATCACTCTTGTAACTTCACACTTTTATTGGGACTTGGTAGGACATTGATCAAGAAAGTTTATTGTTAGTTTTTTTACTTTCTTAAATCATAAAATAAGATCTCCCATGAGAGAGATGGCTTAAGATTAATGGATATACAGTAGAACTACCTCCCTGTAACCTAATTGTAAAGCCAAAATGTCCTTTAGGGAGAGGTGTCTTCTTACCGGAGAGTTGCTAAATGGTAAATATGATAATTTTGCAAATGAGAACTGTTCTTTGTAGAGACATGTCCTCTAGTGTGAGTGTCCTCTCATGGAGGTTCTATTGTACCTGGTTTCTTCTGGAGGTAGGCACTCATTAGAGGTTGGAATATTTCTGGTTGTCATTTTTGATTTAACAAAGGTGGTCTCTCCTGGAGATGGTATCCTTTCAAATTGGTCTCTCATGGGAGATTTTTCTGTATTTTAAATATAGTAAACTCTGTCTTCAAAGTGACCTGTCTTAGGAGTATTCCAGTCTTAAGAGTTGATTTTTAATGGGAACTACAGTCGAACCTCTTTAATTCAACACCCCAAGGGATCAGAGCTTTCGGTTGAATTAAAGGAAGTGTTGAATTAAGGTTATATGGTTATATGATTAGGTAATCATCTAACTCGCTAAAATATATATTTTTTAATAGCTTTGTAATATAAATTAATGATATTAATTGAAACCATTGTGTGTTTTTATATTATTTTCATGATTAACTTTTAGTATCAGTGACAAAATGGCATTAATATATATTTTAGAAACATAAATAATTGTAACAAATAAATTTATTGGCAATGTGTTTCTTTTCAGTAATATAATCAAATATTAACTCTACAGACATTAAAATATTAAATATAATATATTAAATAATATTTTATTCTAATTGAAAAATATAGCAGTTGAAAGGAAATAAATATGGTAAATAAAAAGAAAATTTTAAAATATTATTTTAAAATAATCATGAAGATCTTTTAAAAAATTCCTTTATAGATATCTGTTTTTGCACTGAAATCCTATTCAGGATGTATTCCAGATGGCATTTTGAAAAAACATGCATGCCTTTCTTCCTCTGAAATGTCTTTTAATAAATAAATTTTAATGTATTAAAGGCATCCACTGCTGCTGCAGGTGTTATTGATTTTGTGTTTAAATCTTTTATAATAACACAGAAATGGAATATTGAAATAAAATGTTATCATAATCATTGTTGGATCATCATTTTATAAAGATTTATTTATTTAAAAAGAAATTATTTATAAATTTAAAAATAGCTAAAATATTTCAATGTTAAAAATAAAAAAATAAAAATTATTATTAGTTAGCGCATGATGCCGAAATTCCCGCGTAAAAAAAACAACAATAACATCCGCGAAATTGCGCAACGGCACTGCAAAGTGAAACTTAAACTAACCAGAAACCAAAAGTGCGCAGGCGCGATCGTATCGACGCCCGCTGTTGCCGATCGTCGCCGCCCGCCGATGCCGATCGTCGCCGCCGTAATACCGTTTAGCGGTAAAGTTGCATGTAAAATAACATTCAACTGTCGAAATTCGAATTTTAAAATGGTCGAACTATCGGAACTGTCGTATTATCGATACTGTCGAATTACGGTTTGTTATTTGATAGGCCGGAGGTCGGGACATCGGAACATGGTCGAATTATCGCCGAGTGTCGAATTGGGGTGTGTCGAATTAACGAGGTTATACTGTATAAGGTTGTCCCAAAAGTTCGTGTTTTTCTTATTACATGGCAAATAATATTATTACGGAGAATACATAATAATACAATTACTTTATACATAATACAAAGACATTATACATAACGGTGAATAATATTGGTATTTCAATGTTTTGTAAGTGTTTACGAACTTTTGGGACAATCTTTTATTTGTTTTCCATTAGTTTAGTTTTCTTGGGGGTTAAGGTATCAAGCTTGTAAAGCTTGAGACTTTTGATGGTGTCTGCCGGGGAAGAGTAGAGCTCATCAATGGATGAGTCAATACAGTCAATAATGTGTTTGGGGGGGGGGTTGCAGGTTGAGAATTGCACTTAGTGGGAAAATTTTTTCGCATTCACTTCTAAATTTTTTAAACCCATAAATGCTAAATGTGTTTAGTATCATCCTTTATTAAAAGCATCATTGA